ATCAAGGAGTCATCATTCTGTCATCAAGGAGTCATCATTCTGTTATCAAGGAGTCATCATTCTGTCATCAAGGTGTCATCAAGGAGTCATCATTAATCAAAAAATCAACTTAAGTTAAGAAGTAATCAGAGTACTTTACCTAATAAATGGTTCAAACTCTATATTAACTATATTCCTCTCTCGTTGCTCGACTCACTGACGGTTTCAGAACTAGTTTCATTTATTACGAAGATGAAATAACTTGTTTTGTCTGAAACTCAAAGATATTAAGTTTATCATGATTACAATAAAAAAACACTAATAAATATTGACATTTGAGTAACTTTGACATTTATTTTGTTGTATTTTTGCTTTTAAATAAATGTACTTAAATAATTAACCAATTATCTAAATTGTTGCTGATTCATTTCGCTGTCAATCAACCAATTGGTTGATTGACTAATTGTTTCAGCTCTAATACACAGTGCATGTAGCCCACATAACATATATATATATTTCATTTATCATAAATTATAAAATACTAAATAATTGCAACTATTTTAATATTCAAGAAATAGTTTTGCTGTGAGAGCTTGCTGCTTTTCATAATTCTAGATTATTGTAAATTAAAAAAAATAAATAAATAAAAAAATTATATATATATATATATATATATATATATATATATATATATAAAATAATATAATAAGTAGATGAATTGACTGCTGGTTACATGCTGAGCTTCCTCTCCACCACATGCATGCTAATGATATTCAGTCTCTCCATCATGCAGACAGGACATAGAGCACGAGGCAGAGCCTGTTTACTCCTGCACTTCACCACAGTGTGTCTCACAGTAGGATGAAAGAGCATGGTTAGAAAATATGAATAAATATTAATAAAAACGTCTCAGAGCTAAATGTGTAATCTGGTGCCATCTAGTGAGTTCAAAGCCGAGAGAGCCGTGCTCCATACATAATGCATCAATGACCACATCAATCATATTTCACTCATTTATTTTACATTATCAGCAACTATTAATCCCCCAAACATCTCTAACAGGCCTACTAATATTCTGACGCGTGTGTCTGGTGGTAATTACAACAGATCCCAGCATGGGTGTGGCTGCTCCCTTGCATGACATTTATCTCCCGACAGATTAACCAAATTGGATGAAAAACTAAGAAAAAACAATCCGGATTAATAATCCAAACGAGAATACATCTTTATCCCGATTAGAGCTGCCTGTAAAGGATCCACACCGCCTCCATCATCTCCAGCCAAAGCTCATTACGGATTAGTAATAATCTCAACTCCATTATTAGCCGTTTAAATGTGCACATTGTGTGTTTCACCGGCTGAGATCTGCTCTAAAAACATCACTTTCATGTCTGATATTCGGGCTGTCAGCTGTCAGTGGGACACTCCCTGCCGGCCAGCTGAGCAGCAGTAGCCGTTAGCTTCGGTTTGCTTTCTCCAACACAAACACCCTCTTATCGAGTAAACGAACAAGACACACACACATTTTACATTTCTAAACACGTGCGTGTGCGTTTTGCATTCATCTCCCATTGATCAGATGACATGTGAGCGTTGAATTGTACCTGTTAAAGAGTCCTAAAGTCGGCTGAGCTTCGTCCCTGACAGGCTACATCCATCCATGGAGGTCTGAGGTGTCCGAGCAGCTGCCTGATCAGAACCGCTACACAGCGGTGTACCAGACTACAGAGGTGTTAAGGTATATTACTGAAGTCACTGTTAAGTAGAGAGCAGAGGGTTTAAACACAGATGGATGTGTGATAGAGTCTAACAACGCACACAGTTATCCCTCATCTGATTTGCTGTGTGTGTTGTGTTGCATGTCTTGTTAGTACTTAAGAATGATATACTTATATTAATATTCTCACTTATTCATTGTTTCTGCATGCATTGTAAAGGATCAATATCGCATCACTTTGTAAATGATATTCTGTTTTTAGCTTTACTTTGTAACATCTGCCTCTTGGGACGACAGATGGAAAATAGCCTCTTGGCTTTAACTCTGGCGCATTTACAGCAATGTGTTTATTAATGTGCTCTGTCCCTTATCAAATAAACCAATACAATAAACGGACAATGTTGTGTGAATAATAATTTAATAGAAGACAATTTAGTACATTTAAGGGAAATAGTTTCATGTTTCTCTTTTTTGTCGTGTGTGAGAACTGTAGGCAAGCACTGGTGTTGTAAGTTAACTTTGATATATTATGTTTCATAAATGTAGCGGTAATAATACAGAGGATTGAGGAAAGAATTGAGAATAAACATGAAAACAAAATAAACTTTTGTAATGAAACGATCATAACTACATTGCTTACACATCTCGTTTTGTCTGTGGGGTTTTAGCAATTGTTGGACGTATTTCTATCCGTGTACTTTATATTTATGTGTTTCACTTTATAACCTGGCAGATAAATGTATCTTTGGGGACCATGAATCCGAAACCTGAGGTTCCTGGAATCCTTTTTAGAATCACAAGTTTGATATGAATCAGATATATTCATTAGATCTGTAATGAAAGAAACAAACAAGAACCTCAGCAGGAACCGTGCAGCATCCTGTATGCAAAACAAACCCCAGGGCAGAACTTCAGCATTGACCCAAAACCATAAACACCTGGTTCAGTCCCCGGCAGGATCCCCCCCACCAACCTTCCTCAAAGCAGAGACCTGTTCTTCCTGTTTGGCTGAACAGGTTTCCAGACTCTGTTAGGCCTCCGGCAGTACACGTGTGGTGAAGGAAGAGATGAACAATGTAGAGCTGTAGAGCTCCGTTTCAAGAGTGAGCAACTGGAAATAGTTCCCCCGACTCCGAGCACATTCCTATTCCTGCTATGAACAAATCTGACAACTGGTGAGATTGCTCTCTAGAGATAGAACACAGCTCATTAGCAGAGAAAGGTGAAGTAGAAATAACACACAGAGGGTAATACTTTGATACCTCAGTACATGGTCGATAGAAGTTCTTAATGTTACACAAAAGAAACGGTAGGAGCATCGTAGATCCATCGGTTTATTTTAATGTCATTCAGAAAGGAAATCATTGACAAAATGAAATAATCAAAGCACTTTGAAGAAGCAAGACTGTCAGTTATATATCAACTAAGAACAATGAAAATGATCAGAGTGTGTGTGTGTGTGTGTGTGTGTGTGTGTGTAAGAAGAGAAAACAAGCCAAACCTTTCTACTGTGTGTAGTAAACAGTTCCTCATGTGGATACTGTCGCCTGACCCGAGTGTGTGGTTAGGGTTAGAGCAATGCATGCTGGGAAAGCATAAGCATAGACACTGGATGAATGGACAGCACTGTCGCCGTGACATGTTAGACCACTCAGTCACTTTTCCCATCTTTGTGTAGATCGAGTCTGTATTCAAACAGAGTGAAGTTTGTGATTTTGGCCGCCAGCTCCGGAAGCACGAACTCTCTTGTCTTCTCGTAGCCCATGTGCTCGTACAGCTTCTGAGCGTCCGTTTGCACCACAGAGGTGTGCAAGACGACTGCTGCGTAACCTCTGTCATGGGTAAAGTCAGCTACTGTTCGACACAGAGCCTTAGCGACGCCCATCCCGCGGTGACTGCGGTGGACAGACATGCGCTTCAACTCCAAGCATGCAGGCGCATTGTCATTAGGAAGGCAAGCCACCATGCCCACCACCCGACCGTCAACTTCAGCCACCCAGAAGCACGAGTCCTTCTGCATGTAGGTCTCACTGATGTCTTTGAGGTCCTGCTTGAGGGAGGTGTCGATGTATTTGTTGAAAATGTAGACGACAAACTGCCTGGCACCGGCCAGGAGGAGGGTGACGGCGAGGATGGGGAACAGGAAGGACTTGGAGCTGGTCATGAGAGCGCAGAACACGCACATGAGCACCATTTGGGTCGGCGGCTGTTTCAGGATGTGCATGAAGGACGAAGGGATGTGCTCGCTCATCCCCATGGTGAAGATCTCCTTCACGGCCTCGGCGTCGTCATCCCGATACCTCCGGACCTCAACACTGGCCATGGCTCAGCCCTGCTCTGTAAAACAACAGGAGGTCAAAACAACCAGATAAATCACTTTGCAATCATATATTCGTTCTTTTGTCCTTTAATTCTGTGTCTTCTCAGCATCACAGTGTGCTGAAGCATGTCCCTAAAACTCTCATTGGAGTGCATCATGTTGTCATTACAGTGGTAGTACTGGCACTTTGATAATCCCATTTCTGAAACTTTAAATACTTCTTTCACTTCTTCACATTGCAGAGAAACATGCTGTACATTTTCATGAACTACTCCAACAGCTGTTGTTCCTAATAACTGAGCCAACACAGATGTTACATGTGAAACACATCATTAGCTCATAAGCTGCGTGGATAGCACTGCTATTAAAGCCTGACCAGCTAACTGGGTTGTGCAATATAGAGGCTCATTCTAACTACGTCTGTCTGTCTGTCTGTCTGTCTGTGTGTATGCATGTATGTACACATGTACGTATATATGCATGTACGTATATACGCATGTATGCATGTATGTATGTACGCCAATAAGCAACAAGACACTGTGGAGATTAAATAATGTTATTATCATGAATTATAATTAGATTTTGAGGGATCCTCATCAATGTTGGTTCATGTCACGTGTTCATGTAATAATGAGTAAACTAGAATATTGATATTGGTTATCGGTCAATAGTAAGTGGAGTAAGATAAGATAATCCTTTATTAACTTGTATATAGTGTTCGTATAGTGCAAACAACAGACATTGTCAAAAACACAAGATCAAAACAAGTATTATAAATAAGTAATAAAACAGTAAAGAATATTAAATAAGTAAAAAATCCACAGTAAACAAAATTGTAACTAAAATAGTATAGAATAATTGTTTGTGTGGACCACAAATACAATATAGATAATATTATGCTCACATTGTAATACATTAATCATCAAAGAGTCTGAAAACGACCCATTCTCAGAATGGTCTTTATTGAAGTTTATTGTTTTCTTTTACATTCTGTATATGACTGTAAGAACTCATGGTTTTTACTCTTCACGGAGTGTGACATCAGTGTTTGTGTTCCGCTCAACAGGCTCAATAATAAATCAAATGTGAGATTAATCAGTTTAATAAGTTATTCACGTTACATCATAGAGCAGTGCACAGAGTGGCAGAGGGAACTGTATATAAACTTTGTTGACTTTGAAAAAGCATTTGACTCCATTCATCGTGAAAGCCTTTGGCGTATATTGCGGCATTATGGGATCCCTGAAGATATAGTTCATGTGATCCAAAGTTTTTATACTAACTTCACATGTAGGGTTGGAAACAGTCTCCAAACATTCCAAGTAAAAACAGGTGTGAGGCAAGGATGTGTGATGTCAGCTTTGCTCTTCAATATCACTATTGACTGGGTAATGAGACAAACAACTGAAGACCAAAATAGAGGCATTCGATGGACTCTATTTTCATCACTTGAAGATCTCGACTATGCAGATGATCTCTCTCTTCTTTCACATACTCATCGACACATGCAGGAGAAAACATCCCGCCTCAGTGATTTTGGTCAGAAGATTGGTCAGAAGATCAGCAAAAAGAAA